TCGTCTCTACTTGTTCACAAACACATTAAGTTCAACTACATTTACCAATGTAGCGTGTTTCCTTTGTGTTAACCATTATTTATATACATTTATACATGTGTTTGAATCATATAAACCAGTATAAACAGAAGAAAAGTACGAGACAGACAACTGTGCATCTTTCCAGTTCAGCTTCCTCCCCACATTGAGGAAGCAGAACAACGAGAGTCCAGGAACAAAGAGAGTCCATACATGGGAGAAGCCCAGCGCCACACTGCCTCCTGCTGGCGACACTGAAGTGTTACCTGGCCATTATAGCACATTAGTAAGGCTCTTTCCTCGTAATATTAGTTCCAAACTAAAAACATAAACACATTGAACACACTCACACACACACACACACAAGGAATTTAACTTCAGTGAACTGTGCTCTCTTATGTACAACAATAAACATGAATAAGCACTAATATGTACAAGACTAAATAAGAAACAGTGCAGTGGTGAGTAGTGCAAAAGATGCTGAAGTAATATGATAATAAAATGTGACAGATGGGTTAATTTACATGAGGTAGAGTGTTCAGTATTTACATTAAAAGTGTGCGTAGATTGATCATTTAATTTAAATAATATATTTGTTTGAAGAACATTTCTCCATTTTCTCCTCAAACTGAGAAAGTCCTCATCACTAACAGTTTTACACCTTAGAAGCTGGGAAACAGCGCCCTCTGGTGATAAAAGCCTTGAGTTGCATTTAGGTGTTTTCTTCGAACCTTATTGATGAAATGCATTTTTTATCCAACTAAAAAGTCAACCATCATACAGGGGAATAAAAATCATGTTCATCTATTGTGACTAACAAATTATGAACTGTGGCTGTAAAGATCAGTCAAAACAGGTCAAAGTAGTATTGTGAAAATACATTTAAAACAATATACAGCCTACATCATGTCTGAAGTTTCTTCAGTTTGACGATCGTAGAAGTCAAGCCATGATGAGGAAACAGTGACTACATCAACTGTTAATTTCAAACAAAAGTAGTTCAGGTTCATATCACAGTTAACAATAAATAGTCTAAGTGTGTCGTTTGAGGCGCCGGGGGCCGGGCGGTTGGGGTACGCCTTGTGGGGAGGCTGTGGTCCTCAGGGTGGATGACCCGGGTTCCAGTCCGGCCTGTGGCTCCTTTCCCTCGTGTTGTTTCTTACTCTCTCTGTCCCTGATTTATGACTATCCACTATAACTGTCCACCCATCATCTGACCACACTAATGTTCTAACCCCACGGTTTGTTTTCTCATTCTGTGCTGCTTGTATTGAATAGGACAGCTGAAGACAGACAGGAAATGTGGGGAGGAGAGAGTGGGGGATGACATGCAGCAAAGGGCCGAGGTGGGATTCGAACTCACGGCTACTGAGAAGAGGAGTTTAGCCTCCGTACATGGGGTGTGTGATCTAACCACTGGTCCATCGGTGCCCAAATATGCAACACACACTGTTTTAATTCATTACTGCTAAATTAAGGCCCAGATGAGAAGTTAGGGTGAGTACGTTCATTTTTAAATTGTTAACCCAATGGGCCGATGCTAACAGGGATGCCCCTGTATACTTCATGATCATGATTGTGCCCCACCAGGGAAAGTCATAACATGATAATATATTTGTGAATCATTGACAATGATTAATTAAAACAACTTCTGATTATGATTTCACTTGTAAGACTTGGCCAGTGGCAGTAAAGTAAAATACAGCGAGTGAGTTAGAAGACTGAGCACCACTGATGACTTGAGAAGTAATGAAGGTGAGGTAAAGTCATTAAGCCCCCATCTGCCATCAGAGAAAGAAACAGAGGCGTAATGGGGGAAGATTGTGAGGATATGTAACTTCAGTGCTGGTGTTTAATCTGTTTGACGACCCTGTTCATGTAAGAAGTTCTATTTCATACAATTGTAATTAATATATTTAAAATGACCACTAAACGTTTAACATTCCTGTTGCAGACCTCTATCAAACTCTCATTATAGGACAATGTAGACAGTCCTCAGTGTTTGTAGTGGATCCTGTTTTACTTAAAAACAATCACACGCTTCATCTCTGAGACTGACGTTACAGGCAGTCAGTGTCTCGGCCAACAAACATGCAGCAACGGCCTACAACATATTCACTATGAGAATTCAGCTGCAATTTTAGAAACTATTTAAATTCAAAAACACACACTGAAGTCAAAGGAGGAACAAAGGAAATCAATCAATCAATCAGTCTTTATTTGTAAAGAGTCAATTCATAACAAATGTTGTCTCAAGGCACTTTACAAAAAGAGCAGGTCTAGACCGTATTTTATTTACAAAGATCCAACATTAATCCACCATGAGCACAAAACTAAGCAACATTTAACAAAGTTAAAGTGGCAAGAAAAAAGAGGCAGCAACCTTGAGTAGAACGAGACTCATATTGAACAACCATCTGCTGACTGCAAATTAAGAAAGGGGAGTCATGGGGCGCCAGTAGCCTAGTGGTTAGTCCGTGCAGACCATATGTTGAGGCTGTGGTGCTCCAAGATGGCCTGGGTTCAAGTCCGACTTGTGGATGTTATTCCCCTCTCTCTCTCTCTCTCTCTCTCCCTGATTTCTGACTCTATCCACTGTCCTATCTTTACAATAAAGGCTTAAAAAAAACCAAATAAACCTTTAACATACATGGCTCCATTTAAAGCTGACACAAATGCACCAACAGTGAACACACTACAGATACAAAAGAACACCAGAGAAACCTATAATGAGCAAATTTTTTGGAAATTAAGTTGATAAAAAGATGCTGATTTAAGTGGCATCTGTCCGAAACCTTGATTCTGGCCTTAAACTTGATAACTTCTGTGTTATCAGAGTTTATCCAAAGGATATTTTGTGACATCCAGTCTCTTACATCAGTTATGCAGTGAATGAGAATGATTGGATGCCATCTTATTGCATTCACATGGTTCATTGGACAGATAAACCTGTGTATCGGCAGCATAACAACGATAGGATGAGCATTGCATTGACAAAGAAAGGTGAGTCAGATCAAAAATGTATCCCCAACAGTTTGTTTGTGCTGTGGGGAGGATGTAGGATCATTCATCATCACAAAGAGGTTTCCATTTGATAATTATGAGGAATGAACAACGTGTTTTGCCTAGTGGTTTGCTCAGGTTCACTCTCGACATTATTTGAATTTGTTTTGTACTTCTAGCAACCACTTTGAAACACACCATCACATTAATTATAAAGCATCAGTTCCTATTTGTTCTATTTTAGCTGCGGTTGCAGGTGCTTCCTGAGTCTATCTGGTGTCTGAATAAATACAACTCTTGTCGTCTTCTCTGTTGGGGTCAGGCCTGAGGTTTCGCTCGGTTTTTGGACGGAAAGTCACAGCGGAATAGATCAGGCTGTCTGCCCCGAGATTCTGTGAATAGAAGTTTTTTTCAGTCACTCTTCTCACATAAGAATACTAAATCGTTAACTTTCAAACAACTTTAGGTAAATGAAGCACAAGTTTCGGTAAAGCTAGTGACACATTAAACATTACCTCGTCCTGTTGTGGGTCCTGTTCTTCAATATGAGCTACATGAGGGAAACAATGTGTGGTCAACTTCGATGTACAACATGGCACAGCACTGTTTTTGATGCAGTTTGTAGAATAGGATTATATGGTTTTGTCTGTCATATAGGTTAAATCAACTAAATACGATTACCTTTGTGAAGCCATTTGATTTTAACAGACAGACAAATGATGATCATCACCATGACAACCACCAAACCGACCAGGACCACGGCCACCAGCTTTGTCATTTCATAATTCACTTCTACAAAAAAAAAAAATAATTAGACACTGTACATTTTACTTTGAGTTGCTTGAGATTTGATTTATATTTAAATGGACCAAACAACATGACAGGAAGGCAGGAAGAACACAAAATTTAAAGTATATCACAAGTTTTTTAAGGCCCATATCTTTAAGTTCTTAAAATTGTATCTAAAGTTAAGCTGATGCCATCAAAATCCTTTTTTTTCAGGGACTGCATCAATAAAAAGACAGACCAAACTTTGAAGGGAACTTACCTTGAACCTCTAAAAATGTTGCATCAACAATCAGTGGATATCTGCTCAAATAATATCCACAAAAATAAAGTCCAGAGTCGGACAAATCCACTTGTTTGATGTTGAGGAAGACAGTGGAAATGTTTGATGTCATGTTGAATTTTCCATCTTTGAATCCACTGCAGAATGTAGCAGGTTCAAAAGACCTAAACATATGGGAGATGCAGCGAGGCTCACTTCTGTTCAGTCTGAACCAGATGATCTGTGTGTAAGTACTGGAAAAGTTGGAGCACTGCAGTGTGACTTCATCACCAGACTGGACCTCCACAGTCTGAGACTTCAAACCTGAGACGGAGATCCAAACTGAAACAAACAGAAGTGTTAATTCTTAAGCTGACAAGATAGTAGGATTTCAAACTTTTTGTTTTATTTATTGTTTTAAAAGTAATGACTTCAGTCACAGGTGAGGAGTTAACCACTTACTGAGGCTGCAGAGAAGTGAAGCTGTTATCAAGATACAGTTCCTCATTGTGCTCTAGTTAGTGTGTGACTGAGGTCTCTCTTTATACAACAGACCTCCTGCAAGGAAGCATATATTGTGTCAAGTTAAAATGGCAGATAACCAGTCTGTGAAGGCAAGGTGTAACCAGTACAGGAAGGACTGAAGGCTGGAGGTGCTAGCACTGCTAACACCCAGCACAACACTTTCACATCTTTTATGTGCAGACACAATCACACCGTGTTTAGCCATGTTTGTTTGTATTGTGCTTGATTTTGACAGTTTTTTAAACACTGGTTGACTTGTCCAAATTTAAATTTGCAATAATAAATGAACAGGAATATCAGTAGCTAGGATCAGACCTAGCTTAAAGAGACTTTCAACGTTTGGATCAGACATCAATAAGTCTTTAACAAAAGTAAAAAAAAAGGTTCAGTTTTAAAATAAGCCTAAGGGTGCTTTCAAAAGCTGGTTGTTGTGGTGTGAAGCTTTTTATTAGTACACTCACAGCTGTACTGAGAAACTGGGTGCATGTGATAGTGGTACTGTAGATACATGGGAACTGACTTTTGCAGTGGTCTTTATGTGGTGAACATGTACAGCTCAGAGCTTGGTGGTTTGGATGGTTTGATAAGATGAAATTAATTTCCTATTTTAATTGCTGTTGCTTGCAAGTCAGACACTGGTGCATAAGCATGCAACTGCAGGCCAGTCTTTTGGTGGTTGAGACCTCTGACAGACACAAAAAGCCCCCCCCTTCTTAACTTTAACAACTAAATCTCGTACAGGCTGCCTGGATTTTTTTTAAACATTTTTTTTTACTCTAATAATGTAATACAATGTGCTATTGGTAAATGCTTTAGCTCCCCCTTCCCCACTTTTTGGTCTTTGTACTCCATGCCTCCCAACTTTACAATGGTGCACATGGACACTTCTCTGGGGTCCATCCACTTCACACATAAAAGGTTAGCATGCCAGATGCAGAGGATAGGGCCTTGTATACAGATAGAACACCAACTCTTCCCTGCCTGTGTGTCCCCCATGCAAATTCCTGCTGTCTTTTAATCAAGTTTCATTTTCAGCAAATCTAAAGCACAGTGCTGTTATGCAAAAAAGAAAATAGTACAAAGGACATCCATGTCTTTACTGGCTGTTGTAATCTTTGACCAAAGATTCAAACTTCAAAAGAAAAGAGAGAGTCGACAATGGTATCTGGAGAGAAACTCTATCCTTACAGTTTGAAACCAAACAGATTTGGAAAGTCTATCTGGTTGTTGAATAAAGAACATGTGTCTCCAGCTCGTTTTCAGCTGCAGGCCTTCTTCTGCTTTTTGCTTGTGAATGAAAACTCAGCGCTGCGTAAGTCACATCTTCAGAAGCCACATTCTGTAAATCAAACACGACATGAAAAGATAAATGAAGCAGAAAACGTAAAGAAATAGACTTCAGTCAAACTTACAGGCGCACTGTGGAGTTTTGGCAGAGAAATGTGAAAGTTGGAGAAGTGTACAGGTGGTATATGTTCATAACTCTTTACACAAACTCCTCAGAGTAACATTTGGTCCCTGTAACACTGTTTGAAGATAAAATGCTAAGCGGGAAGTCATGGTGGTGGGCCCGCAACATTGAAAACATAACTATCCTGGTAGCTTTTTAGCTCCAAACAGTGTTCCATGGACCAATTTTTTCCTGGGTATAAAGTTTGTGTCTGTAGTTCAGAAAATATAAAAATTGTTTAACTTTTCAAACGTTCAAATTTCACTACAAAATCTACATAGTGCACCTTTAATCTAAGCCAAAAAATGTAATACCTCACTTTGCTGTGGATCCTGGTCCTCTTTACGCACTAAATGACAGAAGCAGAACATCCTGTCAATAAACTGCTGCTTCATATTACTGTTAACACTTTTTGGCTCACAGAAAGTTTTGCATTTGCAGTCCAAATGATAACACAACCTGTTTGAGGTTTTCTGATGAGTACAACCAGAGTAAAGATGACAGCAGAGAGGAAAACAACCAGAGCACCCAGGATCATATTCAGATAGTTGTCTCTACCAATGAATGCTTCTGCGAGAGAAATTATAAGACATGTCATTATTTTGTATAAAAATCTGTTTCCATCGATTCAAGAAAGGCAACAAAGAAATACCATCTTACCTTGAACTTTGAAGTACGTTGCACTTACAATAACTGAATTTCCTTCTGAGGTAAATCCACAGAAATAAAGTCCAGAGTGACTAAAATCCACCTGTTTCATCTTGAGAAACAGATGAGTGCTGTTGGATGTCACGTCAAAGCTGCTGTTTTGAAATTCACCATAGAAAGAAGCTTTCTTATCGGCGCTGGACAGAGAGGAGATTCTGCTGGTGTTGGATGTGCTGTTCAGTCTGAACCAGGTTATGTGCAAGGGGAAAAGGGTGAAATTGGTGCACAGCAGTGTGACTTCTTCACCAGGTTGAGCATCCACGGTGTGAAACTCAGACACTGAGACAGACAGCAGACCTGAACGGGGACAACATGAAAAACGATTTGTAGTTAACTGTAAGGAAGCTGAAAATGTTTGTACTAAAAGAAACAAAAAGAACAAACAGACTACTACTCAGTACTTACTGAAGAGTAAAGCTGCAATCAAGGTAAGGCTCATCATTGTACGTACAGTATGAATGCACGACTGAAATGTTTGTTACTCAACGGTGCCCCAGTGAAGGTGGGCTCAGTGTGAAGAGGCGGAGCGTCCTTTTGTCAATCCAGTTTCTCAGACTAACTTTGACAAAGATAGATCACATATTTTATTCCGTTTTTTAAATTTATTTTTTGCTTCATGTGTCAGTCCTCCAGTTAATCTCCCCAGCTTCACCGCTCTCCACACAGACAGTAAGAGACAGAAAGGAACACAAGATGATCCAACTACCTCAAGCTTACTAACCCCAGTATCTGCAAAAATGCTGTTTTTTTTTTTGCAGGACTTGCAGAGGCAGAACATACTGAACTGAAATACAATCCTGGAATCTTCTGAATAACGCCTGACGACTGTTTTGCTTTGTATTCATCTACATTACAGAAGTAATCTGCAACCAAAACTGTGTCTGTAGCATCAGATCAGTATGCAGCAGTCTTCTATAAATCTCAGTGGAGGGCTTTAATTGACCAATCAGAATAAATAATCCAAATAGCTGTACAGTGATGTATCAATCATAGCAGTTAAAATTGCACCTGCCAGATTTATGTGTGCAATGCTTAGTACATTGAGTTTTACATGACAGTGGAAATGAATGTGAACTTCACCTGCTGTGGTTTTGCTGCTGTCTGTCACCTCTTCTGAACATTCAGCCTTCAGCAGAGTGACTGCTTTGATATGAGGCCGTGCATGCGTCACCTTGCAACAGGCAAGAGAGAAGTGATTTGAGTCTGTGCAAGTGTTGGGGGTAAGGTGTGATTAGATTCTCATCCCTCTCATGTCTTCTAACCCAGTTTAAAAAGATATTTTCAATTCAATTCTTTGGGGAACATGAGGCTTTTTATGTTTTATTATGTTGCAGGAAGCTGAAGGCCACTTCAAACACTCAGTTTCAAGGTTATTTGCACAAAGCATTATTGTGCTAACCCCTATAAAGTTGTCCTACTCATTCAGTTTGGGCTTGTTTTGCGTCTTGTTTTGGAGAAAAGATATCTGTACCCCCACTCTCTTAAGCTGAGAAATGCACTTTCCTATCTTCAGGGAGATGATTAGATTAGAGGGGACACTTCTTCCTGTCACCTTACAGCTCACACTTCTCCACAGATGTGGTTAAAGTGTATGTGCTTTTGGTAGGGCTGAGCTTCCAACAGCCCTTGATTGATACACCAGTGATTCTAGTTGTGTCAAAGTATTATACAATTACTGAAGTTTAATTTTTAAAACCTCATTCAGATGTGGAATTGTTTTCATGATCACCATCAAAGTTGAGAGCCTTTTTAAATACTACGGTGCAGTTACTGCCACACCTCTCAGATGACAGTAATATTTATCTCTAACTGCACTGGGGAGCTCCTGAGATCTCTTAGGTTCCTCTGGATCGTTGGTAGTAGCCTGCCTGAACAACCAACCCCCCTTCTTGTTCCCTATCCCTCTTTATGCATCTTATCCCATATCCCCCCTATCCCATTTTTAGAGCTCCCCCTGCTGACTGGCTGCAGTATAGGTCATAAACCCCGCCTCCTCAATGATAACAGATGGGATGTGGGTCAAACTGTAAAGCTAAAATACTCGTCACATAATTTTTTTCCAAACCTAAACTCTGCTGTGATCATTAGTTATTATCACCCTACATTGTGTTCAAGTGCTCATTTTTCTGTGAAGTTTGTTTTAAATAAGTTATTTGAGGTTAAAAAACAAGATTTTACGTCATATTTGACGATGATTGACAGCCGCCGATCTTGCGTAGCTCTCTTTGTGAATAACAAAAGTTACGTAGTGAAGGAAAGCCGAGACACCATTGAATTTTTCCGTTCAGTTTTTTTCGTCTTTTTTGAGCTGGAAAATGAGTTGTTCTGCAGTAAACTGTTCTAACCGACCTGTGGGAGCTAAGGGATCTTTGCAGTTTTTTCAGTAAGTAAAAATGATTTATGTGTCATTGTTTGGTTAAAGTCGTTATCTAGCCAGCTAACACATAAGCAGTCTAAGGTTAGAAATGTTGTAAAGCTAGGTTACTTATCCGGCATGATTTATCTTTTTATTTTATTTTTAAATTGAGCAAAACTAATAACTGACATGCTGTGTTTCTTGATATTGTTGTGTCATTATTGTGATTGAAATTGTATTTAAAACCAAGAATCGTAATATAAAATCTGCTCATAGATGCGGTTCATTGACTGTACAGTTATTTTACAACAAAAATAAAAACGTCTGGTAAGGTCTCAAAAAAGTATCTAGGGCAAAAACAAAGTCACATAATTTAAATCTGGCCTGCATCATTACTAATGTGAACATGTTTACAGTCTGAGTGATAAGTGGACTATACCGAGAGTAACAGGTTTTACTTTCACTGTGCAGGCTGAAATTCATAGGACTATATACGAGGGGAGAATATTTATCTAGCTATCCAGATAAAACTAACATCAACAACCGGCGGTG